CCATTTCGCGAAGACCACAAAAAACACCAGCACGCTCCCCTTATGAGGTCACACCATGCCACGATGTGTTCAGTTTACAGTTTCGGCCCCGCAGCTACGAGGTATTTCATGAACAACGGTTCGATCATGTCAAATCAAAACCACTCGCTCGACTCGACAGATGGGCCAGAACTTCATCGCCCAGTACTCGGGGAAGTAGATTATGTACAAACTTTATAAACCGTTAAATGGGTCAGCATACATTCGCCTATTCGACATTACTCTACTTTCCAGTGAAGCAGAAGCGTCGCGCACATACGTTGAAACTGTGCAGCTGACGCGTCGATCTGAATGACTCCACATGTTTGACAATTACGAACATTACAAAGCGTACAGCATAACATGTTTATTTCATTTCACTTCGTTAACTTCAAAAATTATACACTTAGTTTCATACGTGTGGCGATTTCGAAATTGACGTGATTCACTGCCCACGCAACAATCCCAAAAGTAGGAATCTTTCTGACTTAGAGAAGACTAAAACACCAAAATACTGTAGAAGTTACGCTCCTCCCATCACAGTACTCTTATTGCAATGTATTAGCACTGCATTTCGTACTGTCATGCATAACGCAGCATATACAACAACATCACACTTTGTATACAATGTCTAAAACATCTTACTTCCTCTTAAAAATCATGCAACTGTTTCTGTCTATATGCTATATTCACAGATGATGACTTAACTTATTAGGAGCTCGCCGCGCAGAATCATAATGAATTTCCAAACTCACATTTACCGTGACTTATATCGTACTTTGTAATTCACCAAAAGTCATATTTTAAGTAAACATTGTAAAAGGATTTTCGTGGATAAATTGCAAACCATTCACCTGGTTCATAATTTTTGAAAAAATGAGTGCAAGCCTTTTTAAATTCAATTTCCATGTCTACAATGTGAACAGCAGGTGAAGATTAAATTAAGAGTAAGGTGCGGTGCAGCATTTTCCCAAGCCTTGTTCTTGAAAGCTGCCACGTATTTCCTTGCTTACTTCTACTACGTTTTGTTTCTCAGTCAACCAGTTTCGATGAATGCTCAATGTTTCAGGTTCGCGAAGGCAGCAACATCAGACAGTGTCTCCAACGTTCCTTATTCCATGCTATTGCCTGAACATCAGCAGTAGATGGCCGAGTATGGGGCAAATTTCGTCAAGGCATTGCCCCAAGTCATTCTTGGTCTTTTCCGGGATTTATGGCCGGTCAGTCGAGGAAATAGCAGCTGATTCGTTATTCTGTCTGGAAGCATTCACAAAACTATCCAAACAATCGCGGTTTGAATATTAGTGTGCATGTGTGTGTGTGTGTGTGTGTGTGTGTGTGTGTGCAAATATATGCACAGTTATATGTGCAAATAAGTGATTAGTAAAAGTTATGTTCCCGATCTGTTTATCAGAGTTTCTATCTTCTTTTCTTCGAAGAAGAACAATTCTGCAGGCGTCTATCATGCACACATTGTCGCGCTTTGATTCAGACAAATCAGCTTGGCCCAGTGACGCCAAATCGAAATCAAGGGAAAGTTTTTTGGAACCACTGTTCCCCCCCCC